ACAACTATGTGGCTGTAAATGCAAAGTATTCTGGATAAAGTGTATGGTTCAGCTGTAATCCCAGATTCATTAATATATGGTACAAGCAATCTTTAGATGACTAGAAATTCATCCAGACACCCTTTCCACCTTCAGACAATTACGGAGGTGCTATATCAACTTTTGGGGCAAATAAGCTATATTTTTTGCACATTTTCCGCCAAAGTTGAATTGTGCATGTAATTTCCCTTCTGCAGCACAAAGTGGTGTTGGTCTTTTAAAACACCAAAAGCTCAAGAATGCCATTCACACTGCCTCAACATAATGACAGGAATTGATGAAGGATGTTGAAGGATTGAGCCAGTAGGCACACCTCCAAGTAACATTTTCAAGAAAGTTTGGAGGATTTTGGAGGATCGAGGGACAATGCAATATTTTCACCCCCGAAATTGGAGGATTTTGGAGGATTGAGGCAGGTCCATAGCAAAAACGCCTAGGGGGTTAGGGTTAAGGATCAGAACTTGACGAAGAGTCTTGCATGTTTTAGGTTATGGATGCATGATGCACATAAATTAAGAGACGTCAGTCTGTTACAGAGCATATTTTTGTTCCTTCTATTTTACCCAATATTGATTGAGGGAAACCATCACCATGTATATGTACAGGAAGGACTTACCTTTATAATGTCTATAATGCATACCATTGCTTCGGGTGCATCTTATGTGCAGACTTCAGAGAGTTTTGCCATTTAGCACTAATCTAATAAAAGCCAGGTTGTGAAAGTGTCAGTCTGTTACCATGGCAACACATAACCTATCATGACTTCTGGAAAAGACACATTTTGAGAGAGAAACTGCAGAATGTAGAGCTACTTGTGATGGATCCCAAAAAGTCACTTTACAGAAGGGAAACATTGTGGAAACCTCTTCCAAGGTGTCAGTATGTTACCCATGGAATTGCCCCTCTATCTTTTAAAACTGATAGGTTTGGAATCTCAGAGTCCCAAGTTCTTTGTGAAGTCCATTAGTATACATGACTAAAGATGTGGTTCCATTCTCCCACAACGCCTTTGCGGAAACTTACTTCAACTCTTGGTAAACATTCCTGTGCTTAAATTGTCCATGCACTCCCTCTTGGGTTTTCTTTCACACTGTGGAATGCTCATTCTCCATGGGAGTTTGGCCATATGGGGTACACGGCTTGTATATTTGTGTGCCCCTGTAAAACAAAGGACAATACATCAGTCGTGTTGTGCTCAAAGCAAGTAAACTCGCAGAAACAAAACATTTGTCCAAAATTTCACAGACTACACTCAAAAAGTGTGACTGTCTGTAAATTTATTATTGATTGAAATGTGTACCAAGTTGGGAACATTTTCAGTTGGGCCAGGAAAAAAAATTCCTAATCCACCTTTAACCCATTTTCATTTTAGCATGAATTGCTTTAAAGCGATCCTAATTTATGCATCATCCTCCAATAATTGTAGGGGGAGGAACTGAAGTTTCACTGGATGATGACAATCTGAAGGAGGCGGAGCCTGCTGAGGCCCCTCCTCCCAAGTCCGAACCTCCCAAATCGGAGCCACCTAAGGAAGATGCGCCTGCCGAGTTGGAGACGGAGCCAACATCGCCCGTGGCAACAGCACCCTCTGTGTCGGAGACAGTCACTCCGAAGAGTGTTGCCAAATCCAGGGTCACAGTAAGTATTACTCAGTCAGAATCTTAAAGGTAGTGACTTTGTTGGCAAAGGAAAGGATGGGAGAGATGCCTGAATGCGGTCACTGCCATTGTTGTCATGGTCATCACTCGCCCAAGAAATCCCCTTTGTCTGTCATGCGTCATTCAGTCTTCACCTACTGGTTGTCATGTTACTTGCGACTGGACTTGTAAAACGTCTTGTGATGGGCTTGACCCAGTCCGTTTGAGTTGATCCCAAAGACAAGCTGTCAATAGACATAAGACAAAATGACGTCGCGTTTTGCTTTGACATTCACTTTCCAACAGCAGTCAAATGATGGCAAGATCCACCTATCTCCCATGAAAAAGTGTACATAGAAACAAAGCATGGTGTCAGTTTGTCCTTTAATGTATTCTTGTCCAGGTTATTCGGTGAAACCGTAGAGGTTGAGCACAAAGAAATTAGGAGTCATGTGCCAGATGTGAGCAGTGAGAGTTTATTTGAGTTCTGCGCCAAATTTTGGCAGATCTAAAAACTTTCGTTGTTGATATGCTATTAACCACTTCGTGCTGGGGCATTTTCCAATGTTGATGATGCTGGGCCGGCATAACTATCATTTATTCCGTTTTCAAAATCCTTCAAAAATTCATAATTTCATTTAACGGTCGTTTATAGCCGCACGAAGTAATCTTCAGGCACTATTCTAAGTTGATAGGTGACCTTCATTGAAGCCCGAGTA